TAGTGCCTGCCACATGAGTACTATTTAGGGTCTACTATTACCTGTCTCCTGCTGAAGCTGAGGTTCTCCAAAAATTCTGAAAGTGGATGGAGGCAGCCACAGAGGAGTTCTGCCCCCAGCCAAGTTGGTCCCATCCAGCCACTGAGACAATCAGTGGCTATTCGGCAGAGGGCCTCCCCTCGGCAGAAATTGTAGGCCTATTAGGACTTCAGCCACAACTTCTTTCTACTTTATTTGGGCCACAAGGAGGGGTTAGTTATGAAGACATGGATCAGATGAGAGCAGACAATTGCTCAGCAGAGACTTAGGCATGTGATTTGCAGGTGTTATACGTTCTTTGAGGCAGATATGGAGCCCGTCTTTTTAGAAGGAAGGGGTAAAGAGACCTTCAAGGTATATATACACTGTTTAGTAAACATGTTAGCACATGCATGTGTTCACTGTCTAGTAATGTATGCTCTTCCAGTTCCTACTGATAGGTGTATAACAAACCACTCCCAACTCAGTAGTGTAATATAACCTCCATTTTTATTATTCTAGTTATGTGGGTCAGGAATTTGGAAGGGCACAGGGTACAGCTTGCCTCTGTTTTGCAATGTCTGGGACTTCAGCGAGGAATACTTGAGAGCTGGGGGCAACCCCATGGCTGCCCTCACCTGGAGGTCTGTCTTCATTTATCTGGTGGTTGATGCTGGCTGTTGGCTGGGACCTCAGGGCTAACGGCTGAAAAATGTACATGTTCTTATCATGGGCCTTGGGCTGCCTGGCCACATTCCAGCTAACAGCAGACACTACATTGCCTTTTGAGATGTAGCTGTGGATGTCACAGAATTATTTCAGCCACATTACATCAGTTACAAGTGAGTCATAAGCCCCCCAAATCAAGGGAAATATTAGAATCTACCTCTTGCTGGGAGGAGAATGTGGGTCAGGAGACACTAGTTTGATTGTTTTTGACAAATGAAATCTGCCCACATACTTCCCTTGAAAAGGACAATTAATTACATGGGGCAGTTGGGAGCTCTGACTGTATTCAGGAATTTTCCTGAGGGTTCTGATAACAGTATAAACAGAATGTGGAAGAATATCAGAGTGGTGCCAGGCACTATGATAACTCGTTTAATACAACACTGAAGTGGTACTATTATCACCAATTTACAGATGAAACAGATACTAAGTAGCTTGTCCAAAGTCACACAGCTCCTGAAGAACTAGAATTTGAGCACCAGCAATCTGGTGCCAGAGTCCATGCTAAACTAACCACTGGACTGTCTCCCTGCTCAATGCCCACAATGCATTCATTGATTCCATCACTGGCATATGTATTTTATGCCTACTATGTGCCAAGCACTGTGTGGGGGACCATTTGCCTGGGGTGTGAGAAAAGTCATGAGTTTATAGAATACGTAATAGGTAATGAAGGTTGATTTTCCAAATTGGCATTTTTCAGCACAATTTGAGAGAAAATGATGATTGCTGTTATATTAAGTATTTATGGTACCTAAATACTTAGTGTGGCTGAAGAGGATCCAGGAAACCCCCAAATGTCCTTGCCCTATTTATGGTGAGGGCAGTAGGGTGAGAGTAGAGGATATGAGTATGGATTCAGAAGGCAGCCTGCTCAAAATCAAATCTGAGCTCCACCGCTTCCTAACAGTTAAGGAAGTTCTTATCTTGGGCGAAGTTCTCTAACCTCTGTGACCGGCTCCCTCACTATAAAATGGGGATAACAGTACCCACCTCCGAGGGCAGCTGAAATATAAAACGGGCTCAGAAGCAATGGCAGGACCAAGTCTGTGCTCCGGGTCACGGCCCATCACCAGCAGCCGGAATGGCCCCGTTCCTTGGCATGGCGTGGTGCTGACATCTAGTGGCCACTTGCCGTGGCTGGCTCTTCTTGGAGAGAAAATAGTTCCACCAAACATATGCATATTCTGTAATGTAATAATAGCTCAGTCCTGGACCTTTAAGGCTCTTTGGACTCTTAAGAGCATAGGTACTCCACACATTAGAATAATGTTACTACAAGAGTGTTCTTACTAGAATACTTAGAATAATTAGAATAATATCACTAGAATAAGGTTCTTTGGCCCTGGCAAGCAACTGTTGTGAAGCGAGACAGCCTGCAAGGCACAGAGCCTAGGAACCACCTTGCGGATAGTCTTCAGACTTCACACCCACTCTCTGAAGGTGTGACCCCACTTTATAAACTCGGGAACTGAGGCTTGGAGAAGTTCTGTGACTTGCTCGGGGTCACAAAGAGTGCGCGACGGGCCTGAGGCCCTCACCCCTCCACCCCTCCACCCACCTCTTTCCTCCTGCAGGCCTGGGACCACCACCTGCTTGCTGCTGGAGACCCCAGCTGCAGCACTAGGCAGGGGGGCACTGCAGAAGGGCTGCCAAGGAGGGAGCTCCCAGGAGGCCTGCCCTGCGTGGCCCCGAGGACCATCCCAGGACACTGGGTTATCCCAGGGAGCTGTGGGACCTGAGGCCAGAGGTGCCTGTCTTTTCAGATGAAGTAGAAATTGACCGGAAGTGGAATCTTCTATGTCTCTTGCGGGGCTTGAGGGGACCTCCCATAGAAGAGGACGATGAGCAGTGGATTATACTTACCTTTAATTATGCATGAAATGCATGCCATGTCTGTCTCCTTTTCAACCCATTGCTCAAAAGCTGTGTTTGCCATGTGTACTTTCAGCCTTTTCTATTCCTTCCACATCTCCCACATCCCCTTAATGTCCCAGGGGAAATCATTCTATAAACTGGCAATTTAGGTGTGTCACTGAACCGAATCGGGCCTGTTTACCCACCACATCACAAAGCCAGACACCGAAGCACCGGACTTTTGCAGGGTTTTACTGCAAGGCCTCCGAGCAAGGAGAAAGGAAGCGAGCTCGAATCTTCTCCCACCCTAACTTAAGTTACACTTTAAAGGATGAGAGCTGGGAGGAGGGGTTTTCGGGTCGGTGTGGATAAAATCGCAATATTTCCAGAATCTCTCGCCTGGCTTTAGTGCATCTCCGTATCAACAGGTGTTTCCAAGGGGTGGAGAGAAGTAGTCTTCTCCGTATCAACGGGTTAGGGCGAGCCAGAGCTTATCCGGAGTGGAGAGGTTGGGGGGAATTCACTGGCTTCTGCCGCAGCAGGGGAGAGAGTGACGCGGGACTACCCCCTGTAAGCAACAAGAGGGTTTTAAACTTTATTTCTCCCTTTGACTGATAAGGGTTTCAAAGGCATTTGCCCTGGGATTTCCCCTCCCCGGATTAACAGTTGGTAAAGGACTGGTGGGTGGGTAGGGTGAGTTTGGAATGTCCCCTGGGCGAGTGCCATCACCCCCACATTTCTTCGTAGGTTGCACATGCAAATTGTGGGGGGCTGGGGGCTGGCATGAAACATGGGGTGGGAATTTGGACTGTGACCTCGGCAGGGTGCTTTTGCACAGTCTCTGGACATCCAGGTTGGCTGTAACCGGTTTTGACTAGTCCTGTGATCTTCCCAAATTCGGGAACTTCATCATCTGTCATCCTGCAAGGCCAACTGGGGGATTTTTATTTCTGTTAGCAACCCTGAGGGGTACGCTTTCAAATGCATTCAAGCTTAGCGTTTCCAAGAACCCTTCAGGTAAAAATAAAATCCCTGTGTCATGCAAATAATTCTAACCCCTAAAACTTTGTATGTTGTATCTCTGCTTTCTCAGCTCCCTCCACTTAGAATTCAGATGAGATGTGGGGCAACTACGAGGGGGGGAGTCAAATGAAATCCTCGTTTGATCCCTCATCCATAGTGTCTCACTTTTTCCTCTGACCCTGCATGTTCTTCCAATTAAGCACCTATAAACAAACATTGAACATTGGTTTCTTCCCTAGTTTCATGTTTGTCAAGACAGATAGATGATTTTAACATGAGGTGAGGTGTTAGGAATATAGGAAAGACTGGGATGTAGTAAGGATTTTAGGGGCTCTCCACAGAAAACTTTCCATATCACTCCCATATGTAATTAAACACGACACTAAACCGTAAGGGGTGTGAGGAGGCCCCTACGTACTATATTCCCCCTTACTCCCATGACTGCAGTGAGGCTCTAGAAAACATAACTAAGTCAAATTTCTTTTAGAAAATTGGGGGCCCTTGCCTTGCTGTTGCTGAGCACCTCATCTGTCTCTGCTCTGTCACCTTCTCACTGAGATGCTGCTGAGATTCAGATCAACAATCATTTCCTGAGCACCTAGGTGTGCCGGGCATTGGAGCTCTCACTGGGGCCCCGCTCAGTGCCAGGCTGGCGTGTGCCAGAGCCAGTCCCTACAGTGAGAGCTGATTTTTCAGCTTCCAGCAATACTGAAAACCAGATACAAACACTGCCATTATCAAAAGCTGAGTTATATAAACTTTGGCTTAAGTAAATCATGTTAAAATCAAAGGTAATAACTCAAAACATCACTTGTCACTACATGGTATATTTTCCCTTTATCTACACCCTTGACATTGTTTGCATCTACAGCAGCTGGACGGTGGGTGTGCAGCATCTCAGTGCTGAGTTCGGTCCCCCAGGTTGGTGGGTGGAAAGTACACCATGGAAATTGACAAATGCTTTGATCTGTTGACTGTTTACTTAACCAAGTGTTGGGAAAATGTTAATAACTCAGGTTAAATTTGAATGTGTATCTGTAGCCTTCATATGAAATTCAGCCAATTTACATAAAGGAAAATCAGCCAACATTGGTGTCAGAACTATACTGCTTTGTTAATGGCAACGAGGCCAGCGACTTGTTCGCTGGATGGGATGGTAAGCAAGTATTGCCCGCGGTCTGATGTGGCGACATTATTGTTGGTGACAGAATTATAAAAACTCAGGGGATTGTGCAAGGCACCCGAGGTTACAGCCACGTGGAATTTACAACCGAGTGTTGCCTAACAACGCTGACCCCACCCCACACATTCTGAGAGCCCGTGTGACCACGGTGCCCGGCGCTGGGCGGGGTCTGGGGTCCACAGAGCGTGGCTGGGCGGCCGGGCCCAGAGCCCTTCCCAGATCGGCCGCCAGGGGGTGTGCGGGAGGCAGCGGGAGCTTCGCGCTTTGTCCCGCTGCGCGGCCCGTCGCCCGGCGCCGCGGCGGGAATATCCGACTGGGCCATTCCGGACGCCGCCTCTTTCTGCCTTCGCGCGCCCGTTCGGGGCGACCCGCTGTGATGGAGGAGGAGGGGGCCGAGGAGCAGCAGCAATTCTCTTACCGACAGGTACAGCAAAACCGGGTCCCGGCTGGGCTGAGGGGGTGCGTGTCGAGTGTCTGAAGAGAGACAGGCGCGAGGCCTCGGCTCCGGCCCGGCCTCTTCGCCGTGCGCGTCCCCCTGGGCCCGCTCGGCGGCCGCGGGGGGTGCTGGGAGGCGGTTTCCACGGCGACGGAGCCCTGCGAGGGAGACTCCGCGGGGAGGCGCCTGGTGGCCCTGTGACAGCCTCGGCCTCCGTTCTCAAGGTAGCTGTGCGGACGGGACGTGGAGCATTTAAAGGGATCCCCGCAGAGCACTTAGCGCAGTGCCGCGCGCGCAGTGGACGCTGCGGCGCGTGGCCGCCTTCAGACCCCGGGGAGACCGCGCCCTCCGGCGCCGGAGCCCCGCCTTCGCAGGGGGTTCGAATCTCGGCCCCACAACCTGAGGGCTGTGTTGACCCTGCTCCAAACCATCGTTCCAAGAGGAAGGTGGGGTAATAATAACCAGCCCTCAGGGTAGTTGCGGGTCTGGGGTCGGCCCCTTAATCGGCGCCGGAAGTGCGATGCCGCAGAGTCGGGAGAAGGTACCCGCGGGGCAGAGGCAGCGCGACCCGGAGGCCGCCTCGGGCGGGACCGGCGGAGGGGCGCGGAGCGAGCCCAGGGCTTGGCACTTACCAACCACGAAGTGGGAAATTCCAGAGCTGTTTACCCGCCTCCTCCCGTGATTTTGAGAAGTTCAAACCCTCAGAAAAAGTTAAAAGAATAATGTCCTCAACACCCCCATGCCCCTCACGTCGATTCACCACCAAATGTTAACGTCTTGCTGTATTTGAGGCTTTGCTCCATTTTAGGGGGATTATTTGAGAATTAATTGAAGATATTTTGACCCTTCACATTTTAATACTTTCGTATGCATCTCCTAGCGACAAGAGCATTATACATGATTTCGATGAGCACATTCAGGAAGTTTAATGTTGATAAAATCCTATTATTTAATGGTCAGGCTGTGTTCGAATTTCCCCAGTTGTCCCAAAGATGTTCCTCTAGTGGTCTTTTTTCCCTCATCCAGGATCCAGTAAAGGATCATAAATCGCATTTAGTGATGCTGTCACCTCTGTCTTCCCTGGAACGGCTCTCCATGCTCGTTGCCTTTCACGACGTGGATGGTTTTAAGAGCCCACGCATGGGGAAGATGTGGGGGGACATCAGCTCTCTGAGAGCAGGTGGGGCTGTCCTTCTCGTTTTTGTATTCTTTGCCCCAGGTAGAGAACCTGGCTCCCAATAGACCATAAGTGCTCACTGAATAAATAAGTGAGGCTGCAAAGATGGACTGAGAAATTTGAACCTCATTCTCTACGCAGTGAGCAGTTTGAGGTTCCCGCCATTCACTCAAACGGCTGTTCTTGGCATTGACAGTAGTGAACAAAACCGGCAGGGTCCTATCCTTGAGGGCTTCAGAGTCTGGCAATTTGGCTTCCAAGAGCAGTATTGTCTGCAGCCTTGAAGAGGGTAGGAGGGAAAACACTTCCTGGAACATTCAGAAGGATCCCTGTTCTGTTCCCGGACCCCTAACTGCACCCCAGCACATGACCTTGGAAGGTCTTTATCTCCCCAGGTGACGGTCCCTTTGTCTGCTCAACCAAAGCCTTCCGCTTAACATAGTCGCAGGACATTTGAAACTAAGGAAGATAGGTGCCTTGCTTACCTGCCTGCCTCTACCCTGGGCTCCCAGGCTCTTGTGTTTTTGGAATTCCTCCTCATCTTGTCTCAACAGTGAACACTTGCTGGGAGAGTTTATGATGTCTTGGGTTCAGCTGTCACCATGTCCCTTTCAGCTCTGTCTCCGGCACAGATGTGGAGCACACAGAGGCCCAGCGAGTTTGTTGACATGAGACTGAGGCCACGGCTTATTAGCTCATTTTGGTTCTTTACTCCTCTGCACTGGGAAAAGATCTGTTTTCTAGTATCTGAAAGGGTTGCTGAGGAGCAGTGAGGGTCCTGCTGTGGGCCAGCAAACCAACAAATCAAAAAAGTGGTGCCCTCACAGCCTTTTCTGCTGCTGTCCTTGGGGTGGGGTGGGGGTCCTCTGTGACATGCAGGCCTGGAGCTGGCAGGGACTTGCAGCAGAGGGATGGGAGCCTTTATTTACTTGATTAAACCTGTCTGGGGGCAAAAGCTCCATCTGGTTTTTCATCGCGTTCCCCAAACCCCTAGCATATGCCTTTACTCAGTAGGAACTCTGCACATATTTGTGGAATAACTGAGTAAAGTCACGCAGGTACTTTGCAAGTGTCAGTCTGACTTCTTTTCCCGCCGACCTGTCATCGTAATTCCTTATCTTGACCTAAATCATAACCATTAACTAGGAAGTAATGTTTCTACAAGTCACACTCCAGAGGGCCTCATTAATTTATCAGTACACTTGAAAAGTCACTCAGCCATTATGGAAAGTGCTTGAAGGAATTAAGTTGAGCAGACCCTCTCCTTGGTCTTAATTTCCTCAGATGTGCAGAGCTCTTACTTGCAACCTTACCCATGATGTATTTTGATTTTTGCTTTAGAGGCTAAAGGCAGCAGTTCACTACACTGTTGGTTGTCTTTGTGAGGAAGTTGCATCAGACAAAGAGATGGAGTTCAGCAGACAAACCATTGCTGCGATTTCGGCGGTGACTTTTCGACAGTGCGGTATGAAGCCTGGTCTTCCTGTATATGTCTAGAAATCCCGAAGGTTGACTTTGCCTGGGCGAAATGTGTGCAGGCAATGGCTTGTCTTACCAACAGACACAGAACATTACCATTGGGCACTATTTGTGAAACATGTCTTGGTTGTAAGATTCAGATATTTTATGGAGAGAACATTTTTTTCCTATTATGCTAACACTGGGGCATTAGCACCTTTATTTTATTGTGTTTTAAATTGTCCAAAACATTAGACTCAGCTTTTTTATTTCATGGCTTTATAACATTTTTATATCACCCATAGTTTATTTGACAGCTGAACTTGTGGCATTGGTACTTCAGAGGAAAGTCATGTTCTCACAAGCCCTAACTTGTAGCAAAAGTTAAAGTTAAGGGATTGTTTCTAGGAAGGAGAAGTGTAGCTGTAATTACCAGAAAGCTTGTAATAAAGGTTCGAGTGTGCCAGAAGGACAAGGAGGTCATAATGAATAAAATGGCTGACAGCTCCTGTCCAGTGCTGGGGCTGCCTGAAGTGCCTCCTCTCACCTTCGGAAGGGTTTGTTGTGTTGGTTACTACTCTTACCGTAGGAATTGAAATTTCACTTTTCATCCTGGAATAAGATTGAGATACAGGTATCTAAAGCACTTCTCTTGTTCTCTTTCAGAAAATTTTGCCAAGGATCTTGAAATGTTTGCCAGGTGGGTAAAGAGCTTGGTCATCTGATGCTATGTTTGTTTGCATTCTGTTGATATTCTCCATCTGGTGGTGTATTTCAGGAGATCTTTCGCTTTTCTTTTTTGTATTTTGCGGAGGCTTGTCTCTAATCACGATTCTTTAAAAAATAGAACATCTGCTTTAATCACGTCCATTCAGACTTGATCTGGCACTTTCTGATGTTTTCCAAGTATGTTTTATTAAAGAACCAAACTCATTCAGTTCCTAGTTAAAAAGGTATGAATAATGGCCCCAAGCACCCAGAATGTGCACGGTGTGCGTGCTCCTGGGCACATTTCTGCAGGATGGTGTGGTGCTCGGGTCTGGGCCCTGCACCCTCAGCTGGCTGCGCTGCTTCCCGGCAGCAACTGCTTGCGTGTGTGCGGATAATGGCAGCACCGCACCAGGCTTGCCATTGCTGCTTTGGTTACGAGTGAGACATCCAGTCCTTAAAAAGCAGGTGACTTGCTCAGCTGGTAAAGCTTTAGCTTCTACAGGTGATTTATGCTCATCTCTTCAATTAGTTCTTCAGGTAATTGAAAACAATTGCAACGAATTGCTTTTACGAAGCAATTTGAATGACTAAGGCCTGACAGGGCTAAAGCTTTCTAATTTGCTGCCACTTCTGATTTGGTGCCAGCCTCTCCACACCCCATACTTTTCTCCGTGCTCCTGTTAGCTCTTTGTTTCACGGGTGAATATTTTGAATGAATTAAAGCAGTAGGTTCTCAGAGGGCAGGCTCTAAATCTTTCCCATTCCTGTATATATGAATCCCTAAAAACCGCTTAGCATCTTCAACTTGGTCAAAAGGGACAAGATAACGTTGTGGGATGCTGTTAGCTCATATGGTTTATTCAGGTGGCAGCCCCTTACGTGTGGCCCTTATCTCCCCTCCATTTCCCATGTCTCCTGTGAAATACATTTATCACCTTGACTTGCCATTTCTTTTTTTTTTCTTGAAAATACAATTCCTTTTTATTACAGAGGGAGACACAAAAATGTAAGTAAGTAAACAAAAGATTTTGATTTGAGCATAAAGTTTGTGTGTATAGAGCAGGGTTTCTTCACCTCAGCAATACTGACTGACACTTTGGACTAGATCATTCCTTGCTGTGGGGGGGACTGCCCTGTGCCCTGTAGGATGTTTGTTGGCCTCTCTGGCCTCCACCCTCTAGATGCCAGGAGTAAGCTCCCAGCTGTGACTTCTTGCCATTTCTCTGTTAGCTGTGGGAAAAGACAGTGAACATTTTTTAATGCTTCTGTCAAAATATTAGAAATAAAAATGAAATTAGAAGCCTTTCATATTGTAATACAGGTACTCTGTTTTTATAATAACATGAAGAAGCTGATTTTGTTTTGCCAGGTGTGTATGTGGTGTGTGTGTCACTGAGACTGTAATTTCCACAGGACGGACATCATCTTTTAAGCAAAGTAGTCTGTGTAAAGACTCGAGACCGGCCGAGGCTTTCCGAGCCGCAAGAGGCGCCTCCCTCCTCGGGGTCCCAGCGCGCGCTCTCGCGTTTCTCACACTTCCTCCCAGAACGCTGAGCACAAGCACGCGCAGGTTTTCTTGGAGACTCATTCTCTGTCTTAACTTTACATATCCCGGTTTGTTCTCATGTAAAAAAAGAAAGCCTGTTTTAACGCCTGTTGATGAATGAAATTGATATTCCCTGAGGACAACTTTGTTTCTCCGGTGGGTTTGAGTTTTCCCTGTCACCCAGTCTCTACTCCCAGAACTGTGATTACCGTTAAGTCTGAAATTTGTACTCTTTCAGGTCAGCTATATATTAAATAATCTTTGTAGGTTGGCTGGGATCCTAACCAGTATTTGTAACATCATTTCTATGAGAAAATGCATTTAAATTCTAAATCAATTCACCTATGAACTTTGGGAAATCATCTCCCAAATTCAGTTAGGAATTTCCTTTGTTTAGCTTTGAAATCCCTAGTCATAGTCACCTAATATTGTTAATATGTTAAGGAAGAAACATTTTGAAGAAAATAGATATCTACAGATATCTGGGAATAGACTTTAAAACCTGTGTTATTGAAAGGGTTATATGAAAAATTGCTTGGTTATTTTCCCAAGTGTAATTTTCTGGAGTCAGAGGTTAATTCAGGAGAGGCTCTGATGTGCAGTGGCCGATGTAGGGTGTACCCACTCCTCCGTCTAGGTGAGTATTAACATTAAAACATGGTGCAGAGATAGCAGATGACCAGCTTTGTTGTTCTGAACCCTCCTGAACAGACAGGCTAAGCTGTCTACCTAAGAGGTTGAGCACGCTGCTTCCGTTTACTTGTTCCTTTTAAGGCACTTTACGAAGGATGTAAATACTGAAGGAGCAGCCTGATGCTGTGATTGAGACGAGGGCCACACCATGTCCACCCGGGACATCTGCGGACTGGCTTCATACTTAGTGGCTATTATATCACCTCCTGTCCAGCGTTTTTTTTTTGTTCTCTGTCCTGGTCCTTGCAGGTGGCTAATTACAAGTTATCTCCTGAAATGGATGTTATCTCAGGACAGGCAGATAATTGTCAGTCACGATGAGATGACACATGATATTTGTACATTTGGCAGGATGAGAAGGATTAATTTGGCCAAATTATGGGGCATAATTTCTGTGTGATTTAATCTTTAACTCAACAGATATTCAGAGAGGACTTACTATGGGCTGGCCACTTTACAAGTTATTAAGGATACAAAGATCTCTACTTATTCCTACTTATTTTTGTTCGAAGTTAGAAATAGCAAGAAAAGATGTGATTAGAATAATAAATGACTGAATAGAGCTTGATATCTCAAATCACCTTTTAAAACAAAGATAAGGGGACTGGAATGAGAATTTGAGTCCAAGTTGTGAGAAAGAAACAGACTTCAGTTTAGAGGATGTTCCTTGTTTTATCTAGGCTGCTGTTTGGGGAATGCATTACCCCCTCGTTAGGAAATGAGGTATTAGGAGACATCTGCATAAGCTTTTTCCTGTAATTTAGCCCTTGCAGGAGAGCTTCAGGATTTTGGTATAAGTGAAGCCATGCTTCACGGAAATTCTCTTTGTTCTTCTGTTTAATGTCTGCTTAAGCAGAGGTGATCTTTGTGTTGTGAGACTGTGCCGTTTTCTCTTTTCACTAAAATGTAAACAGGCCTGCTTCTTGCTTTTCCTGTACTGTTCACTGTGACCATTGTGGCAAAGCAAGTCACCGCCTCAGGCTCCTCTCTCTGCTCACGTTCTGCAGACACCTTGACACGCAGGTGGAGGTGGACAGATGGGCTTCTCCTTTATCTCGGTCTCTTTATTTAATTGGTATCTTGGCTAGTCACTTCACTCATTTTTGTACCTCTGTTGCCTAATGACCTTAATCTAAAAAGATGGGTTACTTAAAGATCCTTGCTAGTTTGAAGTCTGACCATGAACTTTTGTGTTTCATCAAAACTTTAAATAATACCAAACGTTCTGGTGAATTGTTTCTGCCTTTTCTACAGACATGCAAAAAGAAGCACAATTAACACTGAAGATGTGAAGCTCTTAGCCAGGAGGAGTAATTCACTGGTGAGAGATGAATTTCTTTTCTCACTCCCCTTTCCCGTCAGAATACATTATTCCCAATTAATCACTTGCAGCCATGAAGCGATTCCCCAGGGCACCTTGCATTAAAAACGAGAGATGGTTGAACCATTCAGACCTGCCTATAATTTATAGACTTTCTTTCATTATGATGGATCTTGCTAAGCCAATTTGAAATTTTCTAATCAGCGCTCTCTGGATTTCATAATTTGCCTTTTTTGTAATATCTCAAAACTTTGGCCCCATGTTTCATTATAGCATGATGTCAGAGAAAGGTTACAGGCTAGAGTGTATGGGAGTTTCACTGTGGTGCCTACGATTCTGATGGGCCAGGTAGGAAGGAATATCTTTACAGATGGGATGTGCAGGAAATTGAGCCCATATCCAATGGGTTTTTCAAAGTCTAGAAGTCATTTTGACCAAGCCCTCATTTTATAGGTGATGCTGTGATCATTCTGGGCTAGTAGCTGTGGCTAATGGCAGAGCCAGAATGCCTATGACATTTCTGGACTTAGTCTAATACTAGCAGTTCAAGTCCGTTATGTTCCTCTCTATAATGTGAGCTCCACAAGGGCAGGGGTTTCTGTCTCTTCTTTGCCCCATCTGCCATACATTGGTGTCAATAGGGCCTGGCACAATGTAGGTGCTCAGAATGACAGTTTACAAGGGACTTTGATTACAGGTGTTATTTAAGCCCCACAACCACCCTATGCGGGTGTTTCATAACGTAACTGATCAGCTGCTGGACTTATAAGTTATGACTGACTCCCATGTTACAGGAGAGTCAGCTGAGGTTCAGTAACTTCTAAGTATAAAGCTCAGGGTAGAGATCTCTGGTTGATTCTGACCTTTAGCCTTCTACCCTGCATTTAGTGCTATTTCCACTGAGCTGTCTTTTTTGCCTCTGCTCATCTAATATCATTTCTCCAGAGTTTAAGTCAAGGTTAAGGATGATCTGATTCCTGAGTAAAATAGCTAAGGTGTCTGGTGGTGCTGTATGTCTGGAAAAAATATTTCTCTCTCTTCATAAATTCTGTGCAGTGTCATAACAGTTACTTGGTCTGCTTCAGTGAGCAGTTTCTATCCTTTGCAAAGAAATGGTCAGTGCAAATCATCTTAGAATATTAATTGGGAAGTGATCCGCTTATTGCACATTTGTTTACCTCAGAATACTTTTATTTTGGACTCTTTATTTTTTTTCATCTGACAGGAGCTTTTTACGGAAGAGTTGCAGCTAATTTATGCATTTGACTAAATCCTCCTTGCATGCAAGAGTCCTTGTCTCATTACCGTGTATCCCTAGTATCTGGTACATAGTATCTGCTCAGTAATTTTAGTTGGGTAAGTTTAGGAAGATTTTGAGTGTATTTATCCTTTGTAGAGTATATTTGTGACTGGCATGCCATCTGCAAGCTTCAAGCTTTCACTCTTTTGATTACTCCAGGAACTCGTACCTGTCTGGTAGGATATATGAGTGGCAGTAAGTTGATTTTTATAGTTGATTCCTTCTTCCAGAAAAAGTTTTGAAGCTCTGTTTAACTTTAAGGAATGTAACCCTAGCATATCCACCCAAAATCTTTGGGCAGGAGTACTTGGGAAAGGGTATAGATATTTTCCTCCCTAAGCTTTACAGCCAAATACAAATAAATTTTTTTTTTTTTGTAGTTAAAATACATCACCGAGAAAAATGAAGAGATAACTCAATTTAATGTAGAACGAAAAGCAAAGAAGAAGAAGAAGTTAGAGAATGAAAACAAAAATTCAGTGGAGCCAGCAGAGGTTGGAGGAGTGGAAAGTGACAATTAAACTGTCCCACTGGGGAGAAGCAGCCGTCAACAGGTGGAGCTGCCATAAATGTGTACGCCACACAGGGGATTTGAGGGAATAAGTGGAGATTTAAAAAAAGGGGATTTGAAGGAATAAGTGGAGATTAAAAAAAAAAGGTGAGGAGGCTTTTTGTGCTCTGTTGTCCTAAGTTATTGACTGCAAAGTTTACAAAGTTTTAATTTAAAAGAGAACTGACTCCATTTCCTGTGTTCTCATGAACTGCCTCTTTCTCACTACGTGTTCCAGCTAGGATGTAACTTACTCTGGAATGTCCAAGGTAATGCTGACTATCTGTATGATTCCATCTTTGGTGACAGATGGCAGAGAGGGGTTCTGGAGGGCTCTTTTTCGTGGGGTTGCTCGAAGCTCCAAGTCCTGGAGGCTTATCTAACTTTTAACCTGTTAACCATATGCCAGATGATTAACCATGTAAAGAAAAGGATGACTTTGAAATAAATGTGTCCTGGTAACACAGATGGGTATAACTTATATTTATAATATTTGCTGTCTTCCTGGTTACATTAATTCCTCAAGAAGGTTGAAATGAAAGTTCTTATGTTAGTTTTTTATTACTGAAATTAACTGGAGCCAGGGAAGTTTTAAGCGTCCCCTTCTGCACATGGCAGCAGCTGGAATGCACTGGGAAAGGTCTGCATGGGCTCGTACCCAGCTGACACCTTAAAACCTAGATGTCCAAGAAAGGTTATTCAAGTGAGCTACTTCCCTTTACTGAACTGTGGACTCTATAAAGAACCCTTAGAGGTCATTTACCAATCTCCCCGCCCACTAGGAGCACTTCCCATAGTGTTCCTGACGTGGTTCCCGAGGCTCTGCTGAACTCTTCTGGGACGGAGCCCTTTCTGTTATTGGACACTAATTGTTGGTTTCTTCTGTATAGAGAGAAAATGTCTTCCATCTTCTAACTTTTATTGAGGTCCTAGTTCTGCCTTTTAGAATAAGCAATCTTTATTTTTCAAAATAATTCAGTACTGAGTTCCTTTTAATCAAAGTTTCCATTGTGCATCTTTCCAGAAACACACATCTTGCATAAACCTTTCCGTCACTGGCTCCCCCAGGGCAGGCTTTGGGGTGGTGGATGTGATTCACTGGGTGCCTCTTGTAGTGCCAGCATGCAGTGCTTGTCCTTGGCGTCTGGGAAGTTCTGGGGGAGTCTCTGGAGTGCTTGCTGCAACCACCTGGCTCTCATCAGGAATCTCCTCCAGTTTGTAGTGAGGAGCTCTGCTTTGTACTGTGGGGAGTCAGGAATAAGGAGTGAAGCTATCTTTTTATATATTAACAGCTCCTAACGTGAGTACCTACTGTGTGTTCCACTTGTGTTAGGTGCTTTATGTGATCTTATTTGGCCCTCACAACTCTAATAGGTGGTAGGTTCTGTTCTTATCATTTTATAGATGAGGAAACAGGCCACAGCTCTAGAGGTTAATTTAAATAGCAAAGCCAGGATTTTAGTCTAGACCCCTCACCTTGTACTAATATTTTGCCACTTCCTTGAAAACAGCCAAGAATAAGATAACATGAAGCCCTCCTCAATCTGCAGCACATAACCCAACCTCATTGGCACACTTATTATTGCACTGAAAACCTACTTTTCTTTCACCTGAAGAGCATGTATCCTGCCCATCAACTAGTCTGTAACAGCTGTGTTGGGGTGGCTGCTGTGGGTCCTTTGTAGTACATAAGCACCTGCGTACATGCTAGGTGTTCAAAATGCTTAATGAGTCCATCAAATAAAATCTTCAAAATATACTGAGGATACAGGGAGCTGGCTGAGCTGCCATAACTTTCTCATCTGCAAAAGTATCTCAAAAATTTTAATACCATTTGTGGGAATTAGGCAGAAACGTTATTTTGGTACAGAAAAGAAAGGACTAAGCAACGTGCAGTGAGCTGTGGGTCATCAGGCCAAGCCAGTTTGACAATTAGAATCCTAGGCAAAAGCTGGTGCTGAAAAGAAATGGAATTTAAGATGGAGGTCTCCCTTGCGAAGGGTGTGAACCAGCAGGACTTCAGTAAGCTGAAAACACCAGTGTACATGTCCAGAAAGCGGTCAGTTCTCCGGCTGCTTTACCCCCACCCTGGAATCTTGCCTTGGACACTGGTTGTCTTCAGTAGGTTTGCTGTCGGTAATTCAGTTTTAACTAACTGTCTTGGTTGTGGGAAGAGGGTCTGTGTGTTTGTGTGATTCTCAAACTGGGACTTGTGAGAAGTCAGCATGCAGCACAAGGACTTTACGCTCTGGACTTCTCAGCCCCAGCACTGTCACCAGGAGAATGAGCCTGGGGCGCTGGCCAAGTGCAGGTTATTCAGTGGGAAATGGTTTACACCGCAAGGTCCTTATTCTGTGTGATGCATTCTAGATTCTATTCATTACAGTAAAAGGTGCTAATGTATGACCACTGGTAGGGGGTCAGCAGCAGTTTGAAAAACACTGGATGAGATATCACTTCACACCAGTTAAGATGGCCAACATCTAAAAGACAAGGAACAACAAATGCTGGCGAGGATGTGAGAAAGGCGAACCCTCCTACACTGCTGGTGGGAATGCAAATTAGTTCAGCCATTGTGGAAAGCAATATGGAAGTCCCTTAAAAAACTAAAAATAGAAATACCATTTGACCCAGGAATTCCACTCCTAGGAATTTACCCAAAGAAAACAAGATCACAGATTCAAAAAGACATATGGAGCCCTATGTTTATCGCAGCACTATTTACAATAGCCAAGATATTGTAGCAACCTAAGTATCCATCAGTAGATGAATGGATAAAGAAGATGTGGTACATATACACAATGGAATATTATTCAGCCATGAGAAGAAAACAAACCCTCCCATTTACAACAACATGGATGGAGCTGGAGGGTATTATGCTCAGTGAAATAACCCAGTTGGAGAAAGACAAGTATCAAATGACAAGTATCCCTCATTTGTGGAGTATAACAACCAAGCAAAACTGAAGGAACAAAATAGCAGACTCAGACTCGAAGAAGAGACTAGTGGTTACCAAAGGGAAAGGGGGTGGGGAGGGAGGGAGAAGGGGATTAAAGGGTATTGTGATTAGCACATGATATGGTGGGGGCACTGGGTAGGCAGTATAGCACAGAGAAAAGACAAGTAGTGACTAGCATCTTACTATGCTGATGGGGGGTCGTGGGGTGGAACGTGTAATACTGGTGAATGTAGTAGCCACAGTGTTGCTCATGTGAAACCTTCGTAAGATTGTATATCAGCGATACCTTAATAAACACTGGGTGTGAGCCTGGCTACCGCGTCACCTGGGTGCGCTTTACAATTGTGGGATCTCAGCTCCTCCCTGCACCTCCCACATCAGGATCTGCATCTTACTTATTTTCATAAGGTGATTTGGGAACACCTCACAGTCTGAGATGGCTTGGGCAGGAGGTCACTGTCTCTGGCCTGCTGGGCTGGGAGGTAGTGCTGGGGACGACCTCTTGGGTCCTTGCCTGCGATATGGTTCTGAGCATCTCCATGAGCCCTCGTTGCCTCCTTGTCTCTTCTGCCTATGGCAGATTCAGTCATACTTCCACTTAGGCAAAATTTCACATTTTAAACTATCCAAGGCTAATTTTATGTTAAATCACTTGATTTTGTTTTGCAAGGCTTCCTGCTTGCTATAGGCATAGTTATGAGGAAGTAGAATTTCTTCAGAAGCAAGTGCCCATGTATTCCAAAGTAAAGCAAACCTAAAACAGGAAACATCGGAGGCTTTAAGGAAGGAATTAAATCTAATCCCGAAATGCTTTTGTGGGCACTGATTGCCTAGGTGTCTGTGTCTGTTTGAGTGTGAGGGAAGAGGGGGTACAGCTTTCAGACAGGTGTGTATACAAAAATAGCTGCATGCTGAGCTTAACATACGCAGTCTTCAAGGAGACCCAAAAGTCACCAAACGCTGACTTCAGAGCTGCCAAGAAAGATGAGCAGCTGCAGAGCTGAGAGAAGCGCTGGTCAGCCTGCAGAATGCTCCTGCCCCTCAGCCTGTCCTGCTGATGCTCTTTGGGGTCACAGCCACTGCTGCTCTTTGCCTGGAGGGGGGCCTCAGGAGCCACAACAGCAGGGTGAGTAGTCTCTGGGCAGCACGCTAGCCCATGTTCCGGCTGCTTTCATCTTTGGCCATCTGTGGATCCCCCAGCATTTCAATGGCCGGCTGTGTGTACAGGACAGACCACAGGGCTGAACTCTGTAGTTGCCCCTCAGCTGCCCTCTGGTAGCTGATGTCCCATTCAGAGCACTGAATCTCATTTACCTTCAGTTGTCCCATCTTGTGTTAGCTCTGAAACTTACGGGGAGTTTCTTCATGCTAGTGATCTCCTTCTGCTAGTCTTTGAAACATTAAGTGATGACGCAGGTCTGCTGCAGTGCAGTCCTGGAGCCACCACTGCCTGTGTGAGTCACACCTACTTCTAGAACCTTAACATATACAGTGCATGTTCTCACTGGCTCAGATTTCAGTGACATCATATATTTTCCATTGTGAGCATTTGTAACTTATTGAGGTGATTAATTTTTCTCTTTTCCATTTTGAAAAAGTGCCAAGAAAGAGTACATAAAGTTGACCATTAAACATGGATTTTTCTCTGAAATTACCAGATGAGTTTCAGACAAGTCATTTATCATCACATTACTCCTAGAGGCTTGCTACAGAGCTTGAAGGACTGGATATAATGTCTCTATCTGATCTGTCTCAAGGAACAATCTGGACATTCAGGAGTAAGACCAGTCACCTGTCAGGGAAAATGATACATTTTCTGACTTCCTAATTGAGGACCTCAGCAAAGATTACGGTCAGGCAGATCAAGCATTTTATTCCCTTGACTGAAAATTCTCAACTTTTCCTTCTCTAATTAGAGTGATGTCATGAAGGTGTTTTTTTAGCTTTCTCACCCTTTGAATGAAAATGTGATTTACTGTTTTGGAGCATCTTCTGTGTTTTTTTGAAGTAAGGGAGGAATTATGTATCTTTTAATACTGGCTGAGCCAGATTGTTGATTTTTTTTTCCCTCTGTCTTCTGCTTCTTTTTAAAAGCATATGCAGGAAGTGACAGAAATAAAGAAAAACAGCCTCTTGAGTTTCCCTACTTGGCAGTACAAACAGATCTCCCAAGCCAGTGCGGCTCCCTTCACAGGAGGAGAAGCCAGGAAGGTGTCCAAATGGCAGGAAGGGCTGTCCCTTCAAAAGTCTACGCAAGGAGATGAAACGCCCTGCAGGAGTTTCTTCTGGAAGACCTCCTGCAAATGGAACTCCACCAGCGACCACTCACGCACAGTGGGATTATGTGTCCGCATAAAATGTAGTGAGCAGCTGTGAGTTTTCTTCATTATGCACTTGTCTTCTCTTTCCCATGTAATTTGAGAAGTATTTAAACTCCAAAAGTGTCCGATACTGAGTGTCTTGAGTAATTTGGAACCCAAAGCGAACATTTTTGGTAAGGATTTTTGTCTTTTTTACTTTACCAAACTCAGTGTAGCCATCAGCCTTTCCTTCCGCCTTCACTATGTGCTTAGAAGTTGCTCTGTCCTTGTTTTCCTTTCTTGGATTTAAAATAGCTAAAGGTTACATATTTAAGAGTTCAGAATGACATCTTATTTCACTTTATGTTTATATAACTTTGTCTACTTTAAAAAATACTTCCCTCAAATGAAAAGCAAATTTTTGACATTGCCTCAAGAGCAAAATGATTATTCCTTATGTTTTAGCCACAATTAACTTAAAAACAAATGTCAGGTTATTAACAATGTCATGCTGACATACTTAAGAGAGTTGCCTTTGAAAGTGTTACTGTGAAAAGCCCATACTAATTTTAATCAGTAAGGTAGTAGTAGTTTGTTACAGTTCTTGTGGATCAGCTTCAGGTTTGCTTTATGAGGAATGAAGTCTATTTATAAAATAAAGTCTTACTTCAGTCCAAATACAGTAAGGGATGCTGCTGCCTCCCTGGAGTCTGCTGGCTCCACCTTCTACTACAGGGGCCCCCAGAGCCTCAGGATCCAGACTGTGTTCCTTGACAGATACATAGATGCTGATGTACACTATGTGTATAATTGTTATATTTCCACACTCCTCAGTAATCTAAGATAGTGAATAATGGTTAAATGATGGGGATTCCTGTTTCTCTGCAAAGCCCCATGAAGATCAGGATGCCAGTCTCCCCAAATGAAGTTAGGAGTAAATAAGCCACTCAGTTACAAACCTTAATCAAATTTTGATTAATTCCCCATTGCACTGAAATCCTAGTTTGATTGCACATATTATGATTCTTGAATCATAGGCTCTAAGGAAAATTATCCGTATGAAGGTTTTTAGATAATTTCTGGAGTTAAGGAGGTTCTGAGGGTCAAGCCTAATGCTGGGCAAACCGGCAGAGGCTGGCTGGAGGATACTAATAGTATTCTCTTCTCTGGACACCAGGGGAGCGGACTCGCGGAGTATGACTGCTGACCGTTCTGTTCTGTTTTCCACAGAGCTGAGCTCATATTCATAATGACTAGCTGAGTAAAGTATAATGTGATGGAAGAGCCTTAATAGCATCCACATTTCCAAACACAGCAGCTTTAGGAAACCAGTAACTGGGTCAGTGCACAAAGGAAGATGCCTGCCAGAAAGGCCAGCTAACCTTCAGAACTTTGCCTTTTAAGATTTTTCTAGAAGAAAAGCATGTTCATTGTTTTTCAGTTCCAACTGGGGCCATACATAGAGTCCTTACATTTGGGGAGTTTAACTTTTAACTAGGTCCTCTCTGAAGGATAATGAGGTTGTACTAATGATACTGCCAGGACATCTGTCCACTCTAAGCCTACCTTAGTGCAGGGGACTTAATAAAATGCTAACTGGCATCAACTGCACGTTAGACTAGATGAATATGCTCATGAGGAGTAAATTAGGGTAAAGCAGGTAAATTAGGATAATTCCCTACCATCGTGTGTTTGGGAGACTTAGTGTACCTTTCTGTAGTTCCATATGCACAAGCGTGTGGATTCGGGTCATCAGGACCTAGACAACTCTAATTCATTCTTTTGCATTTATTTCTAGTATTTGGCACCAGAATAGATCCTTAACTGCTGAGGAAGAATTGAGTGTGACAATAAGCACTCGACAGAAATACCTCCATAGTTTTCAGATTTTAAGGCTGACAGCAGTCCCTTGTAGGCCTTTGGAAACTCAGACCAGTAAGCTCGGGAGATCCTCCAACAACCTGGTCACCAGCACCTCGCCAAGGGATAGCCCACATCTTAACAGTAGCTGCTTCAGTAGAGATGTGGATACCATTTTAAACAAACCAGAAGAGGGTTTTTTAAAATCCACTTTTTAGGTGCTAAAGAGAAGGAAATTCTGTTTTTAGACTAGAAAGAAAAATGCAAAGGACAGTGGGGCTACCCACTATTTCTGGCTTCTCATAACCCCAGTAAAGTTAACACTAATTTATCTTTCCCATTTGTAGTTAAGTGACCAAAAAGTACATGTGTTTGTCTTATTAAAATAACTGTCAGCTGGAGAAAAAAATTATACACACTGGAGAACATTGTTTTTTGGTGATAGCTCTTGTAACATGGTATCGATGCATTAGCCTGTTGGTTCCCGTCCTTGTATTTGCGCAGGAGTTCTCTGATTTGATTTGAGCAAACTGAACTCTAAGGTTCTGCAATCTGCAGAAGCAGTGTACCTCCTGAGGAGCAAGTCTGTTCCCTCGTTGGAGGCTTTCAAACAGGATGGAGGACCCCACTGTCAGAGCCATGTAGAGGGCTCCAGCACTGGCGGTGTGTTCAGACAAGATCATTTCCAAGGTTCTTAAAAACCTCAAGTAATATAAGACAGTCAAAATAATTTAAGGCAAAACCCTACCAATAAAATGGGGAAAAACCCTGAAGGCAAAAAAAAAAAAAAATTGAGTAATTAGGAAATTAAACAGCTAGACAATCTGGTTAATAAAGGCACATTAATAATTCTTGTAATTAATGCAGATTCTGCAGGGGTGTTTTTTGCAGATTACTATTATTTTGTTCCTTTATCTCTAGAAAATGAAAAATCCGTTAGTTTTTTTTTCCCTTTGCTTTTACCCAGAAATTAAAGGTTGGTAAGTGGTAATTAGCACAGCTCCTGTCAAAGCCAATTGCCTAATGGGGACCGACACTTGACTTGAGTTGAAAGAATGGAATATGGCTAATGAAGAGTTTGTTCGTCCCAGCTGCTCTCTTTGACATTCTTTTCTCCTCCATAAGAACAGGCGTGCCCTGCTTGCTCCCGCTCCTATTTTTAGACATATTGCTGTGCTGCTGTTTCTATTCTAGAAGGCCGGGAGGCACCGTAGTGTAGGGAAGGTAAGTGGTACCAGGGGCATTATAATGTGTTTGCAACCACTCTCACTACACATTTGGGCCAGAGTTTGCAGACTAAGGTCTTTGTCCTATAGACCCATAGACAGGATCCTCCTAAGGACACATCCCTGTACTTTGCTCCTGCCTCACCTCTGCACCTGGGGCAGATGAACAGGAACCACTCTCTGTAGTCTAATTTGTGCTGGGTACCAATGTTCTTCCTTATACATTTTACTTCATTGAACCCTTAATTGTGGGGCCTTAGGATAACCTCGTATTTTGGAAATGAAGGTCCCAAAAGGTTACTCAATGTGGGTTTGTCTCATTCCAAAAGCCAAAGTACTTTTTCTATTATCCTATGCAGCCGAGATCTATCAAGTACATACATCAGTATCAACACCCAGGCTGATCAACAAAAGCTCTGCTGTGTACTTGATAAATAACTTCAGAAAATGTTTTTAATTCAGTAGGATAAAGATGGAGATGTCAGTGTAATTGGTGAGTACAGACATCATTCAAATTTCTGGAATGCAGGCTTTTACTACTGTGCTAACTGTACAGTGCTCACAAGGCTGATTTACTTACATCACCCCACAATGATGAAAGTCAGAGGTCTCTGGCAATTATGTTGTTGACATGTTAGGCCTTTGCTTGTTGGAGTTGACTCCAACTCACTACATTGGTGTAACAAAGCCAGTGATCCGGATGTAGAGTAGAAGAGTGCATGGATCTACCCAAGAGAAAATACACCTAAGTGGAAAGGCACTGGAATTAGGGCCTGACTTGGATCCTGGCGCTCCCATTAGCCTTGTGGCAGGTGGCAAGTCACTGGAATTCGCCGAGCCCTTTGCTCATGTATGAGAGGTGACAAGCCACACCCCAGCTAGCTCACTTATTTTTGTGAGGCTCCAAGGAGGTAAGTGCTAGCACACAGCAGACTGCAAACTGGTAGAAAAACCCTCAAGAGGCATTAGGGCCCCTCTAGGGGCATTTCGAAAATGTGTGGGGCTGCTTTCAATTGTCTCAGTGCCTTGAGGTTGCTTCTGGCGCTGAGCAGGTGGGGGGCTAGTTTTCCTGCAGTGCACAGGGCAACTCCATCCTCAAGACTTCTTGGTGTCATGGTGGACCGTCACATGGGTGAGGACCTGTTCCAGATAATCTTTGCTGAAACATAACTGTTTTATATATAAACACGGAGTACTTCCCCCAGTTTTTATGTGCTCTGGAGTTTTCAAGACTGCAGCTATTCTGCAAATCAAGGATGGATAGAGGCATCCCCTGTGTTTCCAAAATTCTGGTTATGCCACTTCACTTTTACAAAGACCTATGTTAGTACCTGTTTTGCTAATGAAGCGATCCAAAGAAGAGTTTGCTTTTACAAAAAAAGGTGGAAAGTGACAGAAAAGACAAGTAATGATTCTATAGCATCTTACTACACTGTTGGACAGTGACTGTAATGGGCTATGTGGTGGAGACTCGATAATAGGGGGAGTCTAGTAACCATAATGTTCAAGTAATTGTACATTAATGATACTAAAAAAAAAAAAGATGGAAAGTGAATATAGCACCCAGTGCTGATTGTGCAGCGAGCCGCTATAGAGGCAGTGCTCCCCGGGCAGCGAGAGGGGCCCTGCTAAGCTCTTCCCCAGGAACCACCCTCAGCATTTTCACATTTAGCCACCAGAGCTTTGAATAGTGTCTGAGCATCTGTGCTTTTTCTTGACTTATTTGATGCATTTGTTAGTACGATGTGTTCTATCAAAAAACCTGAGAGGTTATTTTTTGGGTGTGGGACTGCTGAAAAATTTTTCCACGTAAATTAACGGTACGTGCTTCTTTTCTTTATGCCACTTTTGCTTAGGAAAGGTTTCACAGGAACACTACTTTTGGATGATGGGGGAACTTGTATGTTATTTTGTCTCAAACTTCACCATTTTGGAAATCTCATTACAAAAGGCAATGCTGCTTGTGGTATTTGAGAGACAGTCACCACACACCCCTGCCAGCCTGCCGCTGCCATATTCACTGTCATCCAGTGCGTACCTCTGACAGCTTCATTGCACCTTTGGTAAAACCATATTGACAGTGATGCATTGAGATACATCCCATTTTATTGGAAAGTTCTTTCTTTTTACTTCTTCTGAAATACACTTGGGGTGTATATGGACGCTTTTCACAGTATGTGTGTAGGTAAGTTAACAGCTCTTAATTTCATTTAAAGATAATTAAGGCGACATGACAAAAATGTGCTATTAAGAAAGAAATGTGGGGGCCAGTGGGAACTAAAGGTGTAAGGCATGAGTAAAAGGGTGCTTGCTGGGTAGATCTAAGCCCTTCTAGAAGATCACAGAAGGAAACAGTTCTTGTTCTGTTTGTTTTCTGCACTCTGCTCTTGCCTCAGGACTTTTTATTATTATTATATTTCTTAATAAGTAGCCAATGTATCTCTTAATAGCATTCTCTTTTCCTCTAAGCATGCTTAAGAAAAAACCCCAATAAGTCATTGATAACTATCACCCTTTCCCTGCAAGGAGACTGTGTTGTAGTTTACAAAACCTGAAGGGACACGTCTGAACAGAGATAGGAGATACATAAACCAGCAGCCTCCGCTTCGCACCCAGAGAGACTTGGAATCATAGCACATGGAAATCAATTTAATGACCTTTTATACCCCCTACTGATAAAACATATTAGAAAACTGAAAAGAGTTTCACAGTGGTAACATGTAATATCACAATACTGAATGAGATATTAGAAATCGTGAATTAGACTCTCCCTGTCCCTGTGGTCTGCAAACTTTATGTGCCTTTAAACAAGCAAACAAAAAAAATTCATTAACTTGAGAAACAAGTTTGTGGGCATAAACAGCACTCTTTTATGTCACCTCTTTGCCATTATTTGTGATTAAAATTCTGAAGTTCTAACAAGGATAGTCTGAAATAGGACAATTTCTTTTCACAGTCCTTGACAATTACTTTTAAACAGAGAACATAAGAACATCTAATCAGAGGTGGGATATTGTCGGTGCAGCTAGATCATTCAAACTAGGTGGAAGGGCATATGGTGAGGCCTGGACTAGCTTTTCTGGAGGGGCCGTGGGGTGAGTCCTCCAGCCTGTTCCAGGAGAACATGCTCTGAGGCAGGGGGTAGAGCAGTGTATGTAAGTAGCCAGAATCAGGCTGAAGGTATTTACTGATACTAAAAAAAGGTCGCAGGGTTTTCTCTGGTACGGTCTGGCCACAGCTATGTGGGAGCTTGTTTAGCCCGTTTAGGATTCTGCGGCTCTCCAGGCAGTGAATTCTTCCTTGCTGAAACATTCCTGAGAGAATGCAAGCTCTGTATCTGCTGGAGGCGCAGGCTGAGTTCCTGATTACAGGCCTGTTGAACAGTTTCCGTCTTCTCCATGTCCCAGTTCAAAGCAACAGCCAACATTTTGGAGTCTTCCTTGGTAACCAACTGTGGCAAGAATAAGAACCACTGAGAACCGCTACCTCTACCCTCACCGGCTGCTCTCCTGGTTTTCTTTGGGGAGTAAGATTAGGTAATACCAGTTTATGTTATGCTGAAATGCCAGAGCTCTATTAAATTGTCATGGG